AGCAGATTAATCAGAACTGGCTTTGACAAGCACTGTGGCAATGGGACAATTAAGACAAACTTTCAGCGGGGAAAATAAAAAGAGGAACAAACTGGGGAGGTAGAGAAAATAGTGCAACAATGAATGAGTGGAAATCCAAAATCTCTGTAAATGTTCATTAAAATTTTTTTAAAGTTTTTAAAAAATTTAAAAAAAAAGAATTATCTGTTCCCATCACCCCCAGCTCAGTCCCTTTTTATTGATTAACGTCTCCTTACACACATCCACTGCATTCTGATATCTGGAAGGACAGCTGGGAGGCAGTCACGTGATGGCCTCGGTATCTGTGGCACAGAGTTAATGAGGGTCTTCCCCAGGAGTTGAGGTTTCCCCTACGGCTGTGTAAGTCAGCCCACTTCTTCCATCCATCAGAAAACGTTACTGTCTCTCCACAGAACCACACTGTCACTTTGCTGGTAGAACACACAAGAGGGCCAAGGATGCAACTGCAGGATTTGCTGGAAATTCCTGACTCCTAGCAGGGCATGCTGGTGCTGGAGAAAGCCGGGCTCTACTCCCTGTGACTCCCTGAGACGCTCCCTGGACTCATCCTTTCCTTCCAAGCTGTTTATTGTTCAGATATGTGTCCTGCACCCCATCACCCCCAGGCAAAAGGAAAGAAGACGAGAGAATTAGATGCCTTCTATTCCAACTCAGCTACTCTCCAACAGGTTTCAATTCAGTCCTCAACCACACCAGAGAGCAGAGCAGAGCACAGTCTGGTTTTGTTTGGGGGCTTTTACTGGGGAAAGCAGAGATGGCAGAAATGGGTTTTAGTATGAATACATCTTGAGGGAGTTCTGGTGGCTTAGTGACTAAGGAGATGCACTGCCAACTCCAAGGCAAGTGGTTTGAATCCATCAGCTGCTCAAAGGGAGAAAGATGAGCAACCTCCTCCCATGAGATTTACAGTCTCTGAAAACCCGCTGGAGAGTCAGCTCTTTATCCACTGCAACTCGATGGCACATATGTTTATTTTTTCTTGAAATTTTTCTAAGCTTTACTCCAATTTTTTTCTACACATAACTTAATTTTTAAAATTGGCTATTATCCCTCTTCTCTGTCATTGTGTTTCACATTTTAGCAATCTAGAAATGAGGATGCTACTTGTAAATGACTGATTCTAGGATTGCTGTCCTAGGAAAATCAACTATCTTGTGGAGCCAGAGTAAGTGCTGAAAAGAAACACTACATTTAAAGATTGAAAAGAAGTATCCAACAGAAAGAACTCCTAATAGCCACAGCTGGAACAATCTGAGCCCCAAAATATTTGGGTTATAACCCAGTAAGTGCAGGCCTCCCACATGAGCGTCAGTCTCTCACAGCACCCTGCCACCTCCAGTATTCCAAGTCCATTCGGACAATTAGAAAACACAACATTCTGACCCAAGACAGCCTCAGTCCCGTGACCCGGCACTATGCTCCCCTCCGTCCTCTCTCCTAAAAGCCAAAATACAACACAATGTGCTTCAAGATGAGTCTTCCTGTCATTACTGCTATAATCTTCCGGCTCCTGGGAAACAAGGTCAAAATCCCTCTCACAGCTGTGACTCTCACCGAAGCCTGTGACAGTTGTCACCTGCTCCTAATCCAGAATTAGGGAACTCTGGTGGCTTAGTGGTAAGGAGTTGCACTACCCACCCAAAGGAACACGGTTCAAATCCACCAGCTGCTCCACGGGAGAAGAATGGGCAATCTCATCCCGTGTGATTTACAGCCTCTGAAAACCCACTGGAGGGTCAGCTATGGGTTGATCCCAACTCCATGGTACACAACAACAATGCAGGATTAATCTGATGCACAATGATCTGTCAGCCCTTGGCTGGAGAAGAGCCCGGAGCTGTGCTGGTCGGGGAAGGTTTCTCTCAGGGCACCCAAGACATCGATGGATTTGTCACCAGAGGTTCCAGAAGACAAGCTTCCCTGCAGTTTGTCCTCAGCATTCAGCCATCATCACATCCTCGCCGCTAGTACCTAAAACTTCATGGGAGGAACGAGAAGAAAAAAGTAGCTGCTACATACATTTAGCAGAACACCCTCCTCCATTTCAAGACATCTTATTGTCATCAGCATTTATTTGACAGTGAGAATCCTTCTTTTGGTTCACACTCATCCTGCCATCTCCCCTCCAAGTTGTGGCACACTCGAGTTTATTCTGGTCCTCAGTCTTCCTGGGACCTTTACTTTACGTCTCTCTAACACAAAGCTTGCAGGTCTGAGCCAGCAGCTCCAGGCATCGCATCCCTGGAAACAGCTGCTCGGCCGTGAGCCAATGAAATCAAACTTTGCTGTGAGCTAGCCCAGGAAGTGACAGGCGTAACAGCCTGATGAACAAACAGGGGAGCACGTCACACTTGAGTTACAGGCTGTTTCATCTCCAAATCAGCTGCAATTCACGGCTCCATGTCCTGCCAGAGGATTCACGGAGGAGATCAAGTCGTGGCAGAGATCATCTGAGAGCTTTTAAAGGGATGTCCATGAACATAATTCATAAGTTCTACCACTTGAGAGAAAACTTTTCCCTTTTACAAAGCCCAACCTTAAGGAACACATGAGAAACAGGAGCACATGTGGACTGACAGCATCAAAAACTGATCAGTGGTGGAGCAAGACTGGATTCTGCTGTTACGAGTCACTGCTTCGGTATTTTTCTTGGCCTTGTTACAAAACAGCCTGGAACTGACCATGTATTTTGCCACCACACAGTGTAACCTGGAGTCAGTAATCCTTCGGAGAGTAAAAGGGGCCGGGGAGAACTTGGACAAGGTGTTTTCAGATAACTGTCGTCTTGGGCTCAACCCCACTGCTAAGACTCCATGCTGCCACTCTGAACCTGCATGGTAGACAGAGACCAGTTCATGTCACTTTCTGCTCCCCATGCTGGAGACAGTAATAGGCACTGACCACCAGGCCTGAGTGAACGGCCAAAGCATGTTTACCTTTCTCTTGCTGGGCCTTTCAAATAAAGTCTTTATGAGATCAGATTTTAAAAGTACACAGTCACTCAATGGCTTAAGTCTACACTATATATTAAAATATATTTCTATAAACCAATATGGAAAATTAACTTAGCTGTATTATCAAGCTAAAAATGTGATATACATGCATATGTGTATCCCTTTACATTATATATGCATACTCACTGTATATTAATGAGTATAAAGAAAGAAAAAGACAAAACACCCAGATAGTTATGTGGGTATACAGCAAGCGACAGTGGCTCTCGGGTTGTTAATGCATGCATCAGGTGCAATTCACAGGGACCCCAGAAGAACAGACCTGAACTCTGTCCTGTCGGACACCGTCCTAGGCATTCCCAACACATCTGAGCTCATTGTCAAAGACTTTATGTCCTATTTCTTTGAAGGCCTTCCTCCCCTTCCTTAACCTTCACCTTTCCAAGCATGTTGTCTTCCTCAAACAAACAGCCTCTCCTTACATGCCCAAAATATGTGAGGCAAAGCTTCATCAACTTTGCCTCCAAGGAACATTCTGGTTGTAATTTCTCCAACACATATCTGCTTGTTCTTTTGAGATATTCAGTACTCTTTTCCAACACCACAATTCCAATGCATCAGTTCTTCTTTCTCCATCCTTACTCACTGCCCAGCTCTCAGATGCATAGCAGGTGACTGGAAAGGCAGTGGCCTGGATCAGGCAGACCTTAGTCTTTAGACTGACATCACTGCTCTTTCGGACTTTGGAGACATCCTTGACAGAAGACTTGCCCCTTGATTTGAGGTCCAAAAAGCAGACATTAAGGATCTGAGTGTAGTTCACTGGGGAGTGGACACAGGAAGCACCAGTGTCTTTGTGTGGAAGACAGACCTGAAGGGGTGTGTCAGGAAGCAAGCTATCGAGGTGAACGGCTGGGGCTCAAGCCCACTGGAAGCCTGGGACAAGGTGTAGAACAGGCCCCAAGAATGCCAGCCAGAGAGGAGGAGGTCTGTTCCCACCCCTACCCATCATGTCTCGGGTGGCAGCAGCACGAACCCGCCGCCCCCTTCCAGCCCATCCCACGTGTGCAAGAGGAAGCCCACTCGGATGTGACAGAACCACGAAGACGAAGCAATAAGGCAGATGCTGTCCGCATCTGCTACACGACGGGGACAGAGACTGGCTCTCAGCATTGGGCTGTGGTTCCTGTTTCCTCAATGTATTTTTTACATCTAACTTTTAAAATAAAAAACAAACTGCAGTAATGAAAAATACTCAATAATGGAAAATATTTTTCTAAGGAGAAGATAAAGCAGTTTACAACTGGGGACTTCCACCTAGAACACACGCCAGCCCCGGCACGAGGTGAGCTCGGTGAACCGGGGAGCAGCGTCCTCGGAAGGAGACACGTGGCCCCGGCGGAGTTGTGACACCTTTATTCACTGATCATAAATAGAATCTCCGGGGCAGGAGGGTGATCGTGAGCGATGCACTAGCACCTGGAGCCTCCAGCCGGTCCAGAGCCTCCACTCCACTGTCGCCGGCTGCTCAGGGGCCCCCAGCCACGGGTTCAGCTGGGGGCCCTTCTGGGGCAGCCAATTTATTATTGGTTCATTCTCAACAATTTTAAAAAATCATAAGACAAGTGTTTGCAAGAAAATATCAAAGAGGCTAAGAAGGCTTTCAATTCTTCAGAGTCTAAAAGTAAAAAGGGGAGGTAGGGAGGAAGGAGAGGAGAGGAGGAGCGAGGGTCATCCGTCCTCCCGTCCACCCCTCTCTGGTTTTTATAAAAACAAAGCCGGCCTCAGTGGGGCCGAAGCTGGGCCTTAGTGGGGCTGAAGCCGAGCCTCGGGCCTTGGTGAGGCCGAACCCAAGTCTCAGTGGGACCGAAGCCGGCCTTCGTAGGGGGGAAGCCGGCCTGAGTGGGGCAGAAGCCGGCCTGAGTGGGACCGAACCCAGGCCTGAGTGGAGCCGAAGCCGGCCTTAGTAGGGGGAAGCCAGCCTTAGTGGGGCCGAAGCCGACCTCAATGGGGCCGTCTGCAGACAGGCTGCGTCTCCCTGATGAGCCACTCGAGTGCCTCCTGACGACCCTGCCTCTGCAGCTCCTTCCCGATCACGTCCCTGCAGGTCTGGTGGTAGCTGTTGAGCCAGTCACACTGCAGGGGAGAAGAGGACAGACACTGGTCACTCTCACAGCTTTGCCCAAGGGCTTCCCAAGCCATCAGCAAGTGGCTGCATCGCTGGGACCATAAGCTGAGAGTTGTTGTGTCCCATCGAGTCCTAACCAACCTATTAGCTGACCCTCCAGAGAGTTTTCAGAGGCAGTAAATCGCACTGAAGGAGACTGTCCATGCGTCTCCCATGCAGCGGCTGGTGGAGTCAAACTGCATACCTTTGGGCTGGCAGCACAATTCCTTACCACTAAAGCCACCAACCCACTGGAGGGTTAGCTATGAGTCGATTCCTACTCAATGATGTTTAACAACAATGACAAGAAGCCACCAGAGCTCAAGCTGAGAGTTCAGGCACATAACACCCTTCCTCCCACCTCCTGGACAAGTGGCTTCCTCGTGTTCTATTTCCCTGGGACCTGAAAAAGGGGCCACAGGACCCATGGTGGAAGTGCCCCCTGAGGACTACTGAGCGTGGCATGGGAAGCACTGCGAGGGAGCCAGAACGACCTGGTGATGAGCATGGCTTTGGGCCCCCGAGTGCCGAGTAACCGCTAAGCAGACACTCTCCCCTGGAAGCCACGCCCACAGGCCACCCCTAGAGGGTCCAGTTCCAGCGGGTTCTGACCCAGCAGAGGCCCTCCAGAGCAGCAGCTCCTACACCCACCCGTGTGGCCTCATCCCCTGACACCGAGTCACCTCTGAAGACAATGGACAAGGAAAGGGGGACACCTGAAGGGCAGTCATGGAGACAAGTAACAACTCTAGTGAAGAGACACCCCTCCGGCTGTGCTACCAGCATGCTGGGCTTCCTGTCCTGTCCACCGTCAGAGTGAATATGTGGGGTGAGCCACACCCAGTGGCTATTCTGAGTGTGGGAGGCCGGCTGAGTGCAAAGCTCTGACGCTCAAGGGCTGCGCTGTAGCAGAGGCGGCTGGGACTACATCAGACATTCAGGCCCTCGGCACCCCACCCCCAGGATAAAAGGCTCAGAAAGAGGAGCTGCCTGGAAGAGGGCTAATGTTCCCACGGATGACAGGGAACAGTGGGGGCAGCACAAGGGACCAATCTTCCCCTTGCGGGTGAGGAGATGTCGCCTGGGATGAAGTTCGTTTTACCAAGATGATAACCCACTACTCTCTCCGCTCCCCACAAAGCAGAGGCACCCAGTGCAGTGAGGCAGGGAAGACCACCACCACTGGTGTCACTGTTGCAAGTAAGCTGAATGCCATTTGAGGAAGCAGTGGCATTACAGACACAGGCTTTGGGGACAGCAGTCCAGATCAGGCCCTGAAGCCTAGCTGAGGAGGTCAAGCCCTCATAGGATTGGGGACAGAAGGATGGAGAATTGACAACTGCCTCTGGCTGGGCCAGGGCTCCAATCCCCACTGAGAGCCCACCCGGAGCCCTGCCCAGAGCTGGGAAGGAGAAGGATGGTGTCAGAAGCAAACAAAAACCACCCATCACAGCAAGGCCAGTGGATCTCCAAGGCGGCCTGCGGTCCAGAGCTGCTGACTGGGGAGGGTGGCAGCAGCTGGTGCAGCCCTGGGCTCACAGGGATGCTCCTGGGGCCTTTTAGTCCACTGAGTCACCACCCAAGAGCTCTGCCAGGTCTGCAAACTCTGCAAGTTCTTGTCTGACCAAAGCCTTCTGCTGCCATCTGCTGGACATAAAGGAAACTGCCTGAAGTAGTCGCTAAAGCTTATATGGGGAGTGAGTGTGTTGGAGGCAATGCCGTTGGCACAGGACAGAGCAGAGTTTACAGCTGTTGTACACAGAGTTGCTATGAGCTGCAAGCGACTCAACGGCACATAACAACAACATCTGGGAGGCCGTCAGGGGCAATGATTTTGTAAAAGCCACTGTTCCACAGTATGACCGTGCCTTCAGACAGAAGGAAGCCGCACACTTCTTAAGCAGTCTATGAAAAAAGGACCCTATAAAAGGTAAATGGAAACGTACTCTGCTTGATGAGCTACTTCCTGTCATCTACTATTACTTGGTCTCAACTTGCTGATGATTCCCCAGGAGAAGATATTATGGGCCAAACAAAAGCTAACTGAAGAAAAGAGCAGTCCAGTGATTCGGGTATGTTGTTGTTGTTGTTAGGTGCTGTCGAGTTGTAGATGACTGATAGTGACCATATGAACAAAAGGCCTAAGCACTGTTCACAGAGTTTCCAGAGGCAAGCTGTTTCGGAAGTGGATGAACTGCTTCCAAGCTTGTTTTAATCAGGCAGCTCCACCAAACACTGTCCACCATGGGTGACCATTCTAGCATTTGACACATCAGTGTCACATTGTTTAGCATCATAGCAACCACGAGTTCAGGAGATAAAATAATGAATCCCTGGATGAAACAAATCCCACTGGTCATGTGCAATGCCGTGGGGTGAACGGTGAGTCAAGGACTGAAAAACGTATCCTCCTTCAAGAAAAAGTGGCTTCAGTTAGCCTTCCACCAGCACCGTGGGCTCCTAGAATGCCGTGGGAGAAGCATCTCCTCGCTAACACGCTGTACATGGGCAGGAATGGCTATGAACAGCCTAGTCCTACCTGAAAGCCTCGGCCTTCCCAGAGTGAAGGGTGACTTACAATCAGATCGCCCACTGCCAAGACCACAGAAGCTGTACCCGGGGGCCATTTCTAGAAGCCACAGGGCTGTTAAGTGAGGGGGCTACCACACACACTATGATCTCGTTCCGTTTCATCCGAGCCCCTGACCCTCAAAGACACACCCCTGACACTGTTCTACAGAGGCGCTATGTCTGTCTACAAAGCTAAACTCACTGCAGTGGGGCCTATCTGGGGTCCCTGGGTGGGAATGCACAGCCGACCCAAGTGCACTGACAGCCAAGCGGAGGTGCACAGCGCAGAGGTGAGCCCAGCACGAGCCCATAGGAAGCATCTCCCTCCATCACCCAGCTGTGAGCCGGGAAAGGGAAAAGCCTGCAGCCGGGAGCAGCCCCAACCTCGTCAAGGGGCGTGGAAGCTGCTCTTCAGTCCTAAAGGCACTTTCCTCAAGGCCAAGCCTGAGGCCAGGAGGGCGTCACTGAGGCTAGTCCAGCCTCAAGAGATACATGTGGAGCCCGGTGGATCGAGGCCAGTGGCAGACTCACTAACAAGACCTTCTCACTCCGAGAGTAACCCTGACCTGCTGGGCCTGCCTTAACTCTCAGAAGTCACCTACTTCCACCAGGACCCTAGCTGGCCTCTCTCCTTTAGAACATTCGTCCTCTGGCTTCTGTTCACTACTGACTGTTGCTGCCCTGTTTTTGACCCTTGTTTCTGCTCGCCTGATCACCTTCCTGATCCCCAGCTTTACTCCAGAGCCTGCCGGGCCTCACTCTGGGGTTCTACCCTCAAAGCTGAAAGGGTTTGCAGCCCTGTATATCTCTTGGAGGGACAGGCCCCCGTCTCCGAGCTTGAGAAGTGAGCTCTGCTGTGCTCCTGGTTTTGTGAAGGGTCTCTCAGGTCTGCAGTGATCAGAGCAGCAACAGAGAGGCAAGTATCACCTCTTAACTTAATGCTTCATGCAACACAAAAAAAAACAACTGGTCTGTGCAATGGCCAAGAGGTTCCGCTGTCCACGTGGCTTTCCACAGGGAAGACACGTGCTAAACTTGCTCCCATGCAGTTAGGACTCCTGTCCACCTAGAAAGCAGTTCACACTGCTCCCCACCCTCCATACTTCCTGTCCCCACCAGGACTTCGGAAACACAATCAATGCTGCCGCCCAACAAATACAGAAGGGCTTCTCTGGTCCTTAAGAGACCTGGAATTTTCAGAGCTGGGGAGCCATGACTAGATCTCAGAATTAAAACAAGACAGAGGAACACAGCAAGGCTGTCCCCTAGCCGTGGCACTTCGGCTCCCACCATCCCTCCATCCCCTCCATTACCTCTTTGTCTGTCAGAGAGTCCACATCTACCATTTTGGTCTGTATTGGAACCAAAGTTAGAGGTTCAAAGGTGAGGCTTCCCCGGTTATTGAAGTTATACTGTAGGAAGAAGAAACAAAAACTTGACTTTTCCCCTTACTCCATGAGGCCATGCCCACCACATACGCCCACCCTCACAGCTTGGAGTGAGTGGGAACCAGAAGGCGTCAGCAGCGCTGTTTTCAACAGGGACATGGTCCCCAGTGAACAAGGACAGTGCTCCCTTAAAGGACCTCTCCGCTGCACTAAGCAGAAGGAAGCCCTCGCCGCCGGGGAAAGGCACACAGAGCGTGTGGAGGACTCACAGGACCGGCCCTCTGGGGCTCATGTGTCACCCTGTGGCGGAGAAGCAGGCCTGGGAGTGCGCTAGTGTCACCTTTGGTTTCACTTCTCGTGACTACACTCTGTACCTCTTAGCACTCAGCCATGTGGTCCGCCTTGACCAGTCAGGCCCACCAGGGAGCACGTGTGCCCACTCCCCTTAGTCCGCCTTGACCAGTCAGGCCCATCTGGGAGCACGTGTGCCCACTCCCCTGGGTCCACCTGGACCAGTCACACTCACTAGGGACCACGTTTGCCCACTCCTGTTGGGGTGGTACTGGCCGAGGACACAGGAGAGCATGCTGGATGGAGGTCAGGAAGCGACTTCTCTCCAACTGTTCTATTAATCACCAACAGAAGAGAAGCAGGTCTTTAAAATAAAGCCTCCCTCCTAACAGCCTGTGACCTCCTGATAATACTGCGGGGGAGAGGTGCCAGCACCTTTCTTTTACTGCATGTGAGGCCTCGTATACTCAGGTGTTCTTAGTTTTAGCTGATAAAAAACTTCCTGGGAAGCATGTTGCAAGCACAGCTTCCCAGGGACTCGCATCTCTTCGCCTAAGAGATTCTGCTTCAAGGTCTGGGAAAGGACTGAAAATCAGTCCTTTAACAAACACCCCTAAAGCAGGAGAGATTTCACAGGAAGCTGCCTCCGTCAAATTCAGAGCCCCAAATGCAACCAAGTTAGGCAGTCAACAGGAGCTCAAGTGAAGAGGTCCAGTTCTGGGAGGAGAATGCTAACCAGGAAAGTGCCTAACAGCAGGATTACATCCTCCATGGCTCTATTTCTGCCATGGATTAGGACACTCTGGCCTCCAGAGACCAAAGTCATCATCTCTGTCCACCGAGGGATATGCTGTTGTTGTTAGGTGCCAATGAGTCAAGTATAATGCATAGCGACCCTAATAAACATTTGAATCTTGTCCTAACTATGTCATCCTCCTCATCTCTGACACACTGGAGCCCACTGCTGCAGTTACAATGTCAAACCATCTTGTTAAGGGCCTTCCTTTCTTTCACTGACCTTTACAAGCACGATGTCCCTTTCCAAGGAATAATCCCTCCTAGCAACATGCATATGAATATGCATATGATAATGATATGAAGCCTTATCATCATTGCCTCCAAGCATGTGACTGCACTTTCTCAAAGACAACTGTTCTTTCGGCAACACATAGGATGATGTTCGGTGCTCTTCTCCAGCACCACACCTCAAAGGCAGCGATTCTTCTGTCATCCTTATTCATTGTCTAACTCTCATAGGTGGACACAGGAGGCAATTGAGAAGACCCGGACCTGAATCAGGCACCCGTTAATCTTCAAATCAACATCATTGTCCCTCAGTAATTTGAAGAGGTACCTGACAGCAGACCTGACCTCCTGACTGCTGATACCGAGAGTGTTGACTTCGGATCAAAGTAAAAAGAAATGGGAACACAGGAAGTGTTTTTAAAAGAAGAAAAGAAATACCTTGGTCTTCACAGGAACCACTAGAACAACATTCTCAATGCGAATTCCAAAAGCCCCATCTTCGTAATAGCCCGGCTCTGTAACACAGCAAATTCCAGAGTAAGATGCCGTTGGCACTGGAGACCTGCACACACAGAGCTGTCAGTCCTGGGGTGACAGCCCCATACAGGACGGAGAGGACAGCAGGAGCGAAGCCCAATGCCCATTTCTACGCCTCCTACCAGCCCAATGCCTCCTCCCAGGAGCCTACCGTCATAGGTACGGGAAACACAGAGGGGAAAAAAATGTTACAAGTCCAAGTTCAAAAGCAACAGATCCAATAAATCAATCATGTGACTGTCACTGGATGTCATCATTAAAGAATACTCATAAAGACTGGGAAAGGCAACACTCAGGAGAAAAGCAGAGCAGAGCGCTTCTGACCAGATAAGCTCCATGACTGAAAAGATGCACGTGGCTGACAAGGGTCACTGCTAACATATAAAATGTGAAGCCGGGCTTTCCTGGACAGTCAGATCTTCAGTGTTCTCTCTACACCGTCCTACAATCTCACCTTTCCTAAAGTCAACACGTGGTGAGCTCTGTGGTAAGGAACTGTGCTGTGAACACAACAGTACACAGTTCAAATCCACCAGATGCTACACAGGATAAAGACAGGTAATCTCCCATGCCATCTGCTATCTCTAAACACCCACTGCCGGGTCAGCTATGGGACGGTTCCAACTCAAAAGTATAAAGCAAACATCACTGTAAAACTGTGTCAGCATGTCTCACTTTTATAAATATGTATCACTTAGAATTACAGAAAAAAAAGTCCATTTTACTGTTGTTTAATTTAACAGGAAGGGGAAATAATTTCCCAATTGTTTTCAAATGATAAACAGAGTCATCCCAGAGCCTCCAGCACCTCTCTCCAGGGCTCCTCCCAGCATCACCCACCATCAGTGACGATCATGCCGGCCTCCAAGGGCTCATCAGAGAACGTTTTGTAACTGATGCCACAGGGACCCTCGTGAACGTTCAGAAAAGAGCCGACACCGTGTCCTGTTCCATGCAGGTAATCCAGGCCAGAATCCCATAAGGCTGAGCGGGCAAAGGAGTCGAGAAGGTGGCCTGGAAGAGAACCATGTGACACTATTTGTACAGTGCTTTTCAATTTACAAAGTGCTTTAGAGATTAGATTTATTATGTCTGCCTCCAGAAACCAGTAGGTAAAAGTTAAGTTACTAGACAGTTCGGGTTTCGGCCCAGCACAAGAACTTTCTAACCATCCAAGCTGGTGAGGTGGGCAGCTCCCCAGCCCAATGGGGTTCAGTCTGAAGCTGGAGGACTGGTGGCCAGGGAGGGTGGTGAGGGATGGTCGCTGCAGCAGAGACGAGCTGTGCACGTGAGCTCCCTTCCCGGCTCACAGAAGCCAAGGTTTCAAAGTTACAAAGGCAGTTCTGACCGGGCTGCATGGCCGATACCCTTCCCTGTCTGAAATGAGTGTGCAGACCATCTGAGCAAACTCAAGGTCAGGTTTTATAAACTCCCAGTCCAATGCTCCCCATCAGTCCTCAGGGGTGGAGATGCCAGTATTAGGTGCCACCAAGTCGCTGATGACTCACAGCGACCCTGTGAACTCTGTCCTACCCAGCACCATCGCATGTCTTTGACAGAATCGAGCCCACTGGTCTAGCCATTGTGTCAGTCCCCTTGTTGGCAGGCTTCCTCTCTTCCACTGACCCTCCACCTTTCCCAGGATAATGGGCTTTTTCCCCAGGACAATGTCTTTTTCCCTCCTGACCACATGCCCTAAGTATCTGAGCAGCACTTTTAGCACCCTGACCTCTAATGAGCACCCTGGGTGCGCTCCTCCACGTCAGTCCTCACGAGAGGGGTGTAAGTCTAACGTCAGGAGAACCGTAAGAAAAATCCCAGCAAGGACCCTGCAAGGAGGCACCGACAGAGAAGGCAGCTCGAGGCTGCACCATCCACAAGGTGCCCTCATGCTCGGTCCAACCTCTCCACGCCACACGGGGCTTCTCAGGAGAGAGGCACACAGCCGGCACCTCAGCCCAGTCCCGCACCCGGCTCCCTGTGAGACACGCTGGCGGCGCTCACTCCACGCGGCACTCACTCCACGCGGCAGCCCCAGGCTCAGGTGAGGCCTGACGCCCTTCCATCCCCACTTAGACATGCTTGATTCCCAAAGGAAACAGAGAGCCACCACAGATGGGAGGAGGCACCTACCTTTGGTTCCAGTCGGGAAAACGGCTGCGCTCACAGCTATGTGACCCTTGAGGACATATGTGAAGCATTCCTGCAAAGAAAGCCCAGAGCACACGTTACAGAAAAGGGGCAGATGTTGTGACAGCCTAGTCCTTGCCTATTGGGTGTTTTTAAAATCTTTGAAGTAAATTTAGTAAAAACGAACTGTCCAAGAGACGATCCCTGAGAATTTTCCTCATTGGGGAACACTGACACGCTCTGTTGCAGGTACTTCTTGGAAAGACTGGGAAAAGGAGAAAAAAGTACTGCTGACACAGCTAGTAACTCAGCAATTCCTCTACGTCTGGCGTTGCTATCTTTAATCTCACAACTATCGCTGTCCTCTCTTTACAGAAAGATTAAGCCGCTTGCTCAGGCCTGCAGCCCACAGGTGACAGCTGCTGATGTCGGAGCCAGACCATCTTGCTTCAGGGCCCAAGCTCCTTCTCACCACAGTACACGCAAAGGTTCCCCTCACTGCCTGCTTGAGAAAACAGCCAGTCGGGTTGTGTGGTCTGCCAGTGAGGTGCAGAGTCAGGACCCCCACACTCCTCAGTCCAGTCCGGCTCAGCACAGAAGCACAGCCCAATATCCAAACTCTTCTCAGGGGCTCCTACCTATAGAATTGATGTCTGTAAGGTGTGGTGCAGAAGAGGACTGAACAGTTCATGGGCTGCCAGAAGAACAAACAGATGTTTCTCGGGGAAAGGGCAGCCAGAGTGCCCCGGGGAGGCAGAGACGGCCAAGTTCCGTCTCACATTTTGGGGCATGTTATCAGGAAGGTCCACTCCCTGGAAAGAGACATCATGCTTGGAAAGACAGGTTCAGCGAAAGAGAGGACGACCGTCAGTGAGATGGATTAAAGCAATGTCTGCAGCAGTGGGCTCCAATGGATGATGAGGATGGCACCGGACAGGAGAGAGTTCAGATCTGCTGTTCACGGGCTCACTGAGTCATACCTGACAGCACCTAACAATAACAGCACCCAGAGACAAAGAGGGCAAAGGGTGCAGACTACAAAGCTTGGCCACAACATCTCGTGAGACCCTACTCCTGGGAGAAGCCTCCTGGAGGAGCTGCTCAGGACCATGGTCCCTCAGGGACTCAGCCAACATCCATGAAGCGGTGACTGCACCGGACACTCGCTCGGCGTGTGGAGCCTTCCAGACCTGCCACACAGGCAAGGAGCCCTTGCTCATCTTTATAGGCAGTAAATGATCCAATCAAGGGCGCGTAGACCGGCAGGTGGCAGAGGACGTCTGAGAGCAGACCTCTGACCTGTGGGATCTCTGTACCTCACAGCTGTTTCCTGTATCCACACTAACAATGAAGAGAGTCTGCTATTTCAGAGGTTCCAAGAGTTAATAAGCCAGTAAACTCGATGAAATTTTAAAAAGGGTGGGGGCAGTTTCAGAGTCTAATCTGGACAGTGCTTGTGAAGCACATATTCCACAACCCACTCCCACCTCCAAAGAGACTTCCTGACTCAAGAAGAGAGACCCAAGCTGGTAACACATAAATCTGAGCTGCCTTGAACTCAGCAGAATGCTCTTAAAATGTTTCCAAATGGCTTACCCTCCAATAATTAATTAAATGGACTCTATAAAACAGAGAAGCTTGACTCCACAGTAATGAGCTATTTTACTGTCCCACATACATTTTTTACTTCTTTACACAGTCTCTTTTCATAAAAGCAATTTTCTTCTTAACTGAGCAGAGGGGGCCTTCCCAGTGCTCAGGGTCCTCCCCTTCCCTTACCTTCTCATAGGCTGCAGGGGTTCCGAAATGCATGGTCCGGGTGACATCTGTGGTTCCATCCCTGAACGAATGACAGAATAGTTTTCGATCAAAGTAAGCATTTGCTTAAAAACGAGACCACATGTAAACACAGATGGCTAACAGAGTGGGCACACGCTGGCTGGCTTCCGACACAGGGACCCTCAGTCTCCTCAGCCAGGGCTCTGTCACAGGAGATGCCATCACTGGGTTGTGAATTAGAAGGAGAAAGTAAACAGGGACCTGTCTGCAGCAGATGAGGGATGAAACCCCATTTCTCCTGTTCAGATGGCAAAGAACCCCGAGATCCTGAAAATAGCACAGTGCACTGCACATCCCTGCCAGATATAGGACCACTTTCTGGGCTCTGCTCACCTTCAGAATCCCATTACCCACATGACGCAACATCCCAAGCTCACTTCAGAATTAGGTTCTCCACTAACCACGTTCCTAGATGCCACGAGGGGTGAAGGCTGACCAGACACTGCCCTGGGCCACCGGTCCTCCCCGCACCCCAAGTGCTCTCCCTGCAGAACCCTGCTCCTAGCCCTTTTGAGATCTCCAGAGAGGCCAACTGACACTTAGACTCTCCTCTCAAACTATTCCAGAGAATGACTGTGAAAGCAGCAGGGTATAAAGGAACAAATCCAGGGAAGCTCTCAACTTATTCATTCAAAATTAACCCCTCACTTGGCAAGGCGCCGGAGCAACCATAGTCCAGGGAACTGGTGTGTGGTGTACGGCCAAGGGCAGAATCTTCCAAACAGCTTTGAAAGTTTGTTGTATCTCAGAGTCACTAATTAAATATGTAACAACTTCCTGCAGGGGGCTAACATTACTATCAGTCTTTTGGGGGTACAGAGATACAACAGGGTTATTTAAAGGAGGGTGAAAAAGGGACAAGACATGACTTCAGGCCTGTGAGGATGAGAACCAAGGCTGCCCACCCCAGCGTACTTACTTGTACTGAGCACCCGAGTCAATGAGGTACACCTCATCCAGGGACAGGGTCCTGTTCGTCTCGGGGACAGGCCTGGGAAAGTTCATTACAAACTGATTATTCACAAATGCAAATGTTGGGTGAATCTGGGGCAGATACACAAGAGTTCCTTTTACAATTCTTTCAACAGTTCCGTAAGTCTGAAATGATGAGCTTTTTAAGTCTGAAATGGTATCATAATACACTACCCCATAAATTAATTATTTCAACTAACATTAACTTTCTGACTGCTAACTTGTTAACTTCTATGTCTGAAGGTTCGAACAAGCTACCTCTAAGAGAAGGGAGAACAGCTTCTATTTCGATGTCCCTCTCTATCTGGAACACAGCATGACCGAGAAGCATTACTAAAGAAACCAGTGAAAGTCACAGGCCCGAGCTTCTCAGGAAGCCACGGGAGTCCCAGGAACAGAGGCAAGGACAGTGTGGGGTCAGGACGGCACTCACTGTCCCAGGAGTCTGGGACCCGTCTGCCTTAGCTTCCCACTCCTACTTCAGTCCCAGCTGGTTTCTCAGACCATCCAACAGGCAAGAGATTGTCCCAATGTGGGATTAAAAAGAAAATGCTTTAATTGGGAACGGAATGGATCATGACACTCATGAAGCCTTTTTTTTACATGAAAATGCGTTATCCTTAAAAAGTGACTGGCTCTCCTTATACCACTTTCCCAGCACCACCAGGGATGAGAAGTGCCAGAGGTCAGCAGCACTCCCCGCCTCGGCCCTGCGCTCAAGGGGGGTCCTCTCCCACCACGGGGGCCACCTGCTCCTCAGCAACAAAGCCGCCAGGGGGCACACAACCTGAGGGACCAGGGTCAGGGGCCCAGGCTCTAAGGCCCTGCCTGCAGAAGGGTTTCCGACAGACCGCACTGAAGAAACGTCAAAGGACATGCAAATCCCTCCCCACTTGGTTTGAAATTTCTTACTGCCTTCCTGAAATAAAAAATTCTAGGAAAGGCTCGAAGCCAGGAATTTCAGCATCAAAGTTAATCATGGTACAAACTCAAGTCCCGTTAACCTTTACACGTTGGCTAATTGTACTTCATATCTTGACTGTCTCCCCAACACAGATTCAGAATCTGCCCCAAGATTGAAAAATTCAAAAGCAATTATTACAAAAAGGTCAAGGAGTGCGGGTGTGTGTGCCCAAGTGCAGCCTGCAGAGACAGTCTGCGAACAGCTTTCACTGACGGCCCACAGCACTGATCAGACGCACAGGACTCAAATCACCCACAGCAAAATACCCACAGGACTGAGCTGGGTGTAGCCCGTCAGTGGGCACACCTAATGGCATTCCCACTTCTCTGCAAGCAGACCCATCACTTCAGGGCCCCTGTGGTCTCATGGTGCAGCTGGCTGAGCCCCTGGGCCTCCTAGAGCCTGTGGTAAGAGCTCCCGCAGACTGAGATGCAGGCTTCACACCCGGGAGGAGGAAGGACTCCTCCTCCCTACACAGCAGGACGCCCCATCGCTGGGCTTTCTTGGTATGAAGGTGATGACACCACATGATGTCTGGACTGCTGCATCAAGGAAGCTTCTATCATCAGGAACGAGAAACCCTCTACCAGTCTATCACCAAGGCTGAAGGGGCGAGACTACAACTCCCGCAGTCTCAGAGATGAAAGGGAAACCGTCTGACTACAGGTGAAGGATGACGGAGAACCACGGAACGAAGGGGAGGCTCCAAAAAGGCAGAGACTTGGGGGTTGAGAGGAAGTTAGAGAGAAAAATGAGGCCTCAGCACGAGCCACAAAGCTGGGCTGGCAAACCCCCAACTGCCCAGTCCCAGCAGACACGCAGAGGCGGGCGCAGGGCCTCAGGGAGAATCCCAGCTCTGTCGGCCGGGATGCCCCGCAGAAGCAGTGAAGCCACACAGTGCTCCCCGCGTGCCTTACGCATAGTGAATGATGGCGCCGTTGGGTCCCGTACTGGAAATCGTCGGGAAGCTCAGGTCCACGAAGTCGGCCTGTTGCCTGGAACAATAAGATTGGAGTCCGGGTGGGGGTGAGGATTGTGCACTGTAACCCACTCTCCCCGGGACTAAACCACAGACACACAACGACAGGGCTGCTTCATGGGTTTCACGGCCTCAGTCACGGCCTCTCCAGACTCCCGTAACTGACCTGGGACCCAGCACCCTATCCACAGCCCCCCTAGACCATCCTCACCTGCGGAACTCCTCGGCTTTGTCAGCGGCTGAGATCTCCGTGACACCACCTTTGGGGACCTACAAGGAAGTCGCTTATAAATCACCTGGCGAGAGAAATTCATGTCCTTCTCTTACCAGTCCACGGTTTCCATAACATGTGCGCACTCTGCACCTCCGGGTGCCATTCTGGGAATACCTCACCCTTCCTCCTCATGTCACTGCGTGAGTACATCACTATGAATACAGCAGGGTGTCAGCCCAACTTTCAGGGCATAACTCAAAAGCTTACTTTTCTCTGATGTCCTACTGTTTGTACTAGAAGACACAATTCCTGTCTATTATCTTTATCAGCGAACGACTTTCCCTAAGGCTGTCATCAAATCTATCTGAAGTGGAAGGGTTGCTCTCCCTTTCATATTTTTTTCTCTCCCTTTCATTTTAACTCAACTATTTTGCCTCGTATTTACATCCCCGGAGGCTCTGGGGGCATCGTCACCAGGGAGGAGCTCTGCCAGCCCAGAGGCTGCACTTCTCTGGTGGTTCGAATCCACTAGTAGCTTCACGAGATAAAAAGGAGCATCCTCCTCCCATGTGATTTAAAGCCGCAGGAGCTCAGTAAAGGGTCAGCGAGAGGTTGGTTCAGACTTGACAGCAATGCAGGAGTGAGATTCACGACCCAAAATCTCCCACAACATAATATATCCAACCTTAAAAATGAAAAAGTATCTTCTAGGAATTCATTCTAAGATAATTACCCAAAAGAAATGCAAGACAAAAATGCAAAGATATCACTTCAGTGTTACTCATACTAAGAAAAAAAAAATCAACCTAAACATTTAAAAATAGGTAGGCATATCTGTGCAGTCAAGAGATGCCATCTCCGTGTGGGTGACTTTGTAAGGCCTCCCGCTACACAGGAAACGCTGGTACAGGGACAGGTAGACCTCACTTTATTATAATTCACATGACTGTGCTTCACAGATGTGTTCTTTATAAGTTAAACGTTCGTGCCACCTTACACCAAGTAAGTCAATACTAGTGTCCTTATTCCAAGAGCATGTCTCTTTTCACATTCCAGTAATTCCAAAAATATTCACAATGCTCTTACTGCATGGTGGAGTTCTATCGATGCT